TGAGTTTTGGACGTGTACATTGCAAGCTTCATTATAATAAGATATAGATATTAATAAATGATACTCACCAATTCAAAAGATGAGTACTAAAGTTAATTGGCTGACTTCATGAAAAATAAAAAGTACTGGTATTTTATTGGTTTGTTAAAGTTTATGAGCAGATATAGTTTCAAATTAAGTTATTTGGGATCTAATGTCACGTTGACTCTCAAGTAGATGGTGACTATTACTATCATCTTAAACCCTATGTGTAGGGGTCAGTGTGCATATATATTTTTATATATATATATTAACAAATTAACTAAAATGTAAAAATCAAAACTTACTAGGTTATACAAAAAAAATACTTTTTTTATTTTTCATGATGTTCCTCAAAATGGGGGAGAATTTGAATGTCATATGTGGTAACCTGGTATTTTGTTTACCCTAGACTCTCCACACTTCTGCTGGGTAATTTATTTGTTGCAGCAGATAACACAGTTCAATGAGCAATAAAACAATAAAGCAATTGGGAAAAGTTAAGAGGCTTAAGGCTCTTAAATAATTGTTATTGTCTGTTATAATCTGCAGTCATTCTAGTAAAAAACATTAACATTAAAATCACCTTGCACTCTGACTTGGTAAATTCACAAACAAGTCTTTAGTATAAATACTATATAAAAAGTTGTGTACAACGTGATTATAATGTTAGCTAAAAGTTTACAAAATTTCTTTAAGATGTAAATCGTAAATTTGGAATTATAGTTAACAATAACTGTTCAACAGACCAGTTCTGTGCACATGAGGTTAATAAGAACTCTTTACCTTATTGCACCTTCACCCAGTAAAAATGACTAACTTTTATGTGGGGCTGCATTTTATGGAAGTGCCTACTTTCTTTAAACACTTGCAATGTTTCACTAGTTATTATACAATAAAACCAACTACTTGTTCTATCTCTAATCCCAGACATTTTTTATCAGCTACTTTCCACTGCTGGTCATCTGCAACTGAAATATGCTAGTCTGTTTTCTAAATTGTTTGGTTGGCTGAAGAAATACAGGGTGTCATGTAGAGAATGCTGGTCACAATATTGGTAGACAAGGACTGATGCTTATAAAAAGCATACATACAATTTAGCAATTTTACATTTACTTTTTATATTAGTATTTTACTGTATAAAAATATATGTATAGAAATAATTCAATGGATAGAAAATAAAACAAATAAGTTACTTATTATCAAGTATATTTATTGTTCATTTTTGCTGGCAGGTGATACTTATGAATTATTTTATGATTGTATAGAAAGTGAAAAATTAATCACATGGTAACCAAATAACCATTATATGTAGGCACACAGGTTACTGATACACAACAACAGTTATATCCAAAAACATATTAGTCTTATTGAGATAAATAACTGTTATACTTATTAAGTTTTTGACTTGATTTCTATACTTTAGTAGAAAAGCTAGCTTTCAGGGAGATGTGTATTTATTAGGTCGTCAAGAAATTAATGTTGCATTTTGGAATAATTTAATTAACCACCCAAAAAAAAACTTGTGTCATGTATAATAGTTAAATGAACTGCCTAAATATCGTGTTAGTGTAGCCTATATAACGTGTAAAGTTTAGTATACTCTAATCCTTTATAGTGATGGCACACGATGAGGCACATATTCGTCATGTAATGCTGTTTGAATACAAGAAGGGAAACTACACCCCTGTAGCCACAAAGAATATCAAAGAAGTTTACGGAAATGTTTTGAACGTTCATAAGTGTCAACGATGGTTTAGCAAATTTAGTTCAGGTGACTTTAACCTTAAAAAGTCTGATGGCAGGGGCTGACATGTTGGAATTGATATTGATGCTCTGAAGACACTTGTTGAGTCTAACCCAAGGCAATTCACTCATGAAATGGCTCTGAAAGTGCATGTCTCTCGTGAAACAATACGTAAACATCTAAGGAATATGGGAAAACTCCATAAAGAAGGTTTTTAAGTGCTTCGTGAACTCTCCGATGATCATTTCCAACATGTGAACGTTGCTTCGTTTCTCTGTTATGATCTCTCTTATGATCATCGTTTCTAACGTGTCAATGTCAAAAATGGATTCTCTATGTGATTATTAAATGCAAAAAACAGTGGTTTAGTTCTAGACAGAAACCACTTCCAACCACAAAACCTGGACTCGGTCTGCAGAAAGTGATGCTTTGCATTTGGTGGGACATCAAAGGAGTAATTAATTTGAACTCCTCAATCCACAGTGAACTGTCAATGCAGAGATCTATAGTCAGCAACTGAAACGTTTAAATTAAGCCCTTCATCAGAAAGGTGTTCTTCTTCTCACGACAATGCACTTCCACATGTGGCACGTTTGACTCAACACAAGATTATGGAGTTGGGTTGGGAAGTTTCCCTCACCCATCATATTCTCCAAATATGGCACCATCAGATTACCATCTTTTTCGTTCGCTGCAATCCCATCTTAATGGAAAAACGTATGCAAATGTGGAAGGTGTTAAAGAGGACATCGACATGCTTTTTGCTTCAAAGCCA